CACACACACACACACACACACACACACACACACACACACACACACACACACACACACGCACAAACGCACGCAAAATTACAAGCGCGCACGCACGCACGCACGCACGCACGCACGCACGCACGCACGCACGCACAGACACATCTGAATAATGAGAGTGTCAATGACACTATAGCTCACCTTGGGTGTGATAGAAGAGGCAGATGATATGTACAATTTGGTAAGTGTTTCATTTATGACGGACCGAAATGTGATCAAATGTCCTTACTCCCCGTTTTATACTAATAGAAATGTCACTGTTTTGTTTCAAGGTTAGTTCTGATGCGAAAATAAATGTTTCAGATCTGAAAGTATGAAATCTGGGCGAGAGATGGCGCTACGCCTAAATGATGGCCATTTTCGTTTTCGATTATCGCGCAAATAAAAGCAATAAACTATTCCAGTCAAATTACTACATTTCCTACCAAACATGAGTAAAATCCGTTGAACCTAAACTGACTTATGGCCATCTCCATTTTTGCCAAAAAGTGGGCGTGGCTCGAAAGTAGGTAGACTGGCGTGCTCCAAAATAGGACGTTCAAATCCCTCCCATAGGAGTAACAACGGTTCTTGAGTTATCGTTGACCGTAGGCAGACACTGAAATGGATAGTGAAACTGCCAAAATCTATATAATTTGCATAATTTTTAAGAAATATCAAAACCCGTGTGATAAGTTTTGGGGCCAGTCCTTATGAAAACATGAGTAAAATCCGTTGAACCTGAACTGACTTATGGCCATTTCCATTTTTGCCAAAAAGTGGGCGTGGCTCGAAAGTAGGTCAACTGGCGTGCTCGAAAATAGAACGTTCACATCTCTCCTATAGGAGTAACAACTGTATGAAATTTGAAACATGTGGGTCAAACGGTTCTCAAGTTATCGTTGACCGTAACCAAATGTTGACGGACAGACGGACGGACGTACGACGGACGACACCCCATGGCAATAGCTCATCTTGACGATGTCAAGGTGAGCTAAAAACACAGAGGCACACGCCGAGCTAAATCCCACTCACGCCCTACTGCCCCAGTGCCTGTAAACAACATGACGTTTTACGAATTTGCAGTGACCTACTCGAGTCCTAATACATATTACATTCTACGATGACAACCATCATTGTCAAATGAGCATATCTTTCTGCCGCCAACGTAGTGGCTCTCGTTTCATCATTTCCTAATAGGGCTATCCGCCTGGAGGGCCTGAAAAATTACTTCTAGCCAATCAACGGTGTGATACGTGCGTTCTAAAAATGCTGCTTAGTAACGAAGTACCTTGACGCCGGCAGTTTAGCGTGCCTATGTAATAATAAAATACGCCCTCATCTACCTTGCCGACACTGGCAACAAAATCAGGGAGTCTGCGTCACTGTCTCATTCAGACGAATGAGCAAATTCCCTGTAGATTTAGCTACGATAGATCGCGCACAAGCTATTAACGAAGGGGTCACAATTCCGCTTTTAATGAAATACGCGCTCAAAGGAACGTACGGGCAGCTTGTCTGACCAGCAATCGGATGACTAATATCTACATAAAGGAAGCTGCTATGGCTTATCTCCTGGCACGCGTGCATCAATTGCGCGTGCAGATGACAAACAAAGCTGACAGACTGACAAGCGAGGATAACTCACAGAGAGATTCGCCTGATACACATGTAAATCCTACGACAATTTCGCCCTTATCTTCTCAAGGCTATCACTGTCACTCACGTGAGGCAGATTGACCGATTGTTGTTGTTGTTGTTGTTGTTGTTGTTGTTGTTGTTGTTGTTGTAATTATTATCAATATTGTTATTACCGTTTTTTATTGCTGTGTTTGTTATTTGCTCCTGTTGATTGTTATCGTTGAATGATGTTGTTAAATGACGTAAGCACAAGTTTCAATATCAACCTGTCACAACAACAACAACAACAACAACAACAACAAAACGGTGTGGCTCGCTGGGAGATTGAACATCGACGCAACACTCGGCGAGCTAATCTTTGACCTATTTACAGCTGGTATGCCCCCCACGCACACACGCCCACCGCAATCAACAGCAGCTCAAGCTCCAATCTCCCAGCGAGCCACACTGCATCGCCGCGGGCACAAGAGTGTGCAAGAGTCGTTAGTAGCTGCCTATTGTTTCAAGTTAGGCGGATTATACATTCGGTTTGCTGGCAACAGAATGGAGAATCGTGTCGTACGTTTTAATCTGTATCTCCGGATTGCAGGTGTATACGAGGAAAAGATTTCGCACGATGCTAGGCGAATGTACTGTGTACGATTTGAGCTTAAGTTGGTTGAGTTACGCGTAGTAAATCTCAGGTATTCTAAGGCTAGTAAATGACGAATTTCCCTTGTTTATTGAAGTCACACTCCTTCCCTATTATCTACTTCTGATACTACTAATACAGATCTAAAATCTATGATAGCTAGGCTTTGCTATACCGGTAGTACAGTAATAAAGATACAGCTGTGTAACTTTAATGACTTCGCTATATATTAACATGTTATCATGAATATATGCGTCGAGCGCGAGCGTAGTGGTGGTGGTGGTGGTGGGAGGGGGGCTAATAGACCCGCAAACTCGACATCCCAAGTCATTTTCGCGATCCCCCCCGGCGTCCCGAATATCAAGACCGTACGTCGAGCGGTAAAGATTTGTGCCATAACTGTTGACGGATGCACGGACGGACGCACGCACGGACGGACGGACATTCATGCGATTCTACAAGCTGCATCTGACTTCGTCAGCTGAGCTAAAAACGAAGCCACATCCTTCAATGTTGAGCTGGGCTGTAATTGCTTCGAATGCCCCATTTGAATAAAACAATGCCTAACGACGAGCGTGCCAATAACATTGCGCGAACAGCTCGTCATGGTATGCCGTGTTACATCTTTACGTAATTCATGCGTTGCTCACTACCTCATCGGTTCATTAGTCATGGTAAACGAGCATTATCAGCAATTAAAAGAGAGGGTATTGCTCGCCACTCTTCCGTCCACCTCGGCTTTCAGCTGTCACGACTTAGAACAATAACCTTTAAAACACGATTAATAGCGATCAACGTATGGCGCACGCATGATTTTTGGTTGACCATGATACCCAATTATTCCATCATGCGTGGATAACTTTACACAAATGTGTAAATAACACCGAAAAACGAATATATTATAACCAAAAACATAATTTAACATAATAACTAAATTAAAAAATGTCTAAAACTGTATTAACATAAATCGGTCGATTCGTGTATTGCCACAAGATTTGTGTGGGGGCACAGTTAACAGTGACATACCTTCATCCAGTTGGAAATAGTCGGGTCCAGTCGGCTGTTCATGTCAACTGTGTCATCAACGTGTGGTGAAAATGCACCAGTAATCTCCAGCACCTGACACCTGAAACACACCGACAGACAGCCGTGAAAGAATTACTTCTGCTGACAGACAGCCTAATAATTTGCATGCTTGGTCAGATACTTTATCTTTACACCATAGGGAAAACAAGATGGGGAGAGACAGCGGCTTTAAACTTGCTATAAGTAGACACTGTATTATTGTTGAATGTCTAAACATTTTACACAGACTCGAATGACCATGAAGCCATGAAGCTCAAATAACAACCAGTTCCATAATTTGTGATTTTTTAATTTTGAACAATTCGTGTTTGGTATCCAGAATGTGCCACAATACACTGCACCATCCTGTCCAATATCTGTTTATTGTGGTTATCTAATTTTCTAACTGTACTAATAGTACAGCTGCTATCGTCCAAAATTGTTCACTTTTGTGATAAAAGCATGAAACTTTGCACAATTACTTCTAAACATT